GGCTTCTGCAGAGCTTGATGATGAGCTGATCATTTGAATCAGGTGTGTTGGAAGAGGGAAACATCTAAAACTTGCAGGATTGCGGCCCTCGAGGACCGGAGTTTGACACCCCTGCTTTAGAAGCTGCCTTCTACACTTAAGAAATATCCAAGAGACACTTTAGTACTTGAGTACTTCCGAACACATGTACTCTAATTTTGTACATTTAAAATAACAGTAGTTACTTGAGTAGACTATTCAAGTGCTCTTGTAATTAATAACTCTCCTGTTATCGCGTCTATTTCGGCAAACTGTTCTGCATTCCTGGGAATTCAACCTATCAACACACTTGTTGCATACGAAGGAACCAAACAAATGACTTTTATGGGTCGTTAATGCTTCGTTTATTGTTAATGTCTGTGACAAAAACTCGAGCTAAGTTTATTTGCAGTAGCCGTACTGTATATAACTTTGATTCTGCCGAGTCCGTGGCTGCTATTTCAGCCTGATAAAATCTAAATATATTAAACTGTCAAGCTGAAGACAGATCACTCATCCTTTGGGAGGTAAATTATGAGGAAGTGTAAATATTTGAATGTAAAGATGAAGTATTTTTTATTGGATGCGGTGAGTGATTTGCTGAACCCAACAGACTTCTTCCATAACTCAAACTGGAATTCCACGTGTTTCAACACTTGATTCTTGAAGTTTAAATTGTTGGCTTGGATCCAGATTATGGATACTGTGAAACCGGAGCCCATGTTTATGGTGCGCAGTGGAGGAGGAGACGTGAGATCACAGAAGTAGTGGAAAGTCACAAGACACACTCTGAAGCCTCCATTCAGATAGTGAGGGGAGGAGGCACATTGCACATTTAAGGTTCACATCAATCAAAGTCATGTAAATATAAATAACTTCTAGAGCCTTTTCATGACAATATGTGTACGGGTTTTAAGCTCATAGTATGTTGCATCTTTTACCTCATTAACCTTAGAATGAATGCATTTGCTCGTTTCCATACAACAGTTGTTTACGTGTCAGACTTTCACTTTTCAAGCTTTTATAGTTGACTAACATAAAGCTTTTAGATCACATTCTGTATAGTTAGAAATGTAATCTAAAGGATGTGCAAACATCTAATGAAGTGGGTCTTGTTAGTTTTTTAAAATGTAATATGAAAATCCAAATGTCAAATCTAGCTGAAATTTCTGACACACAAAAAAATCATACTGAATAAATTCCCAGTGTGGCTGAGATTCTCTCATGCATGTTTCTGCTTTCTCTGACTTGATTAATATTGTACTAGCCTGAACTACAGCTGTGATTGCAGTTAAATAAATGTGGCAAATTAGAAAACTGTTCACATTGTCCTAAAGAACATACTGCAATAGGTAGCTGACAGACACATATTTAAAACAATCAATATGGCTGTATTATACAACTTGTGTAACATGAAGATTGTTTTATTTTTCTGTCAGAGCCTAAAGTGCCATTCAGGAGGAAGCTGCAGGATGTGGAGGTACAGGAGAAGACCTCGGCCACGCTGATGTGTGAGGTGCCTCTTATTGCCACCCAGGCCAACTGGTTCATGGAGGAGACGCGGCTGGAGCAGAATATAAAATACCGCATGGAGGAGGAAGGCACTCTGCGTCGTCTCACCATACACAATGTCACCACCAACGACGACGGGGTTTACATCTGTGAGATGAAAGAGGGCAGCCGCACCGTGGCAGAGCTCACTGTCCTTGGTAGGGTTAGACTTTCTACACATCTTGTTCATTGTTGGATGTTATTGCAAAGCAGTTATCAAGTGTCATTATTATTGTAAATATTTAAATACTACATATTACACACACGTATAATGTGACATGACCTGATCCTTGGAAGGTTACTATAATTAGATCAGTATTTACTGTTGTGCTGAGAATACTGTCTTCTCTGCCACTGAAGACTGTTTTCTTGATGGAAAATCTATTTATTCCTACATCCCAGGTAACATCACTAAGAAGCTTCCTCGGCGAACAGTTGTCCCTGTCAGCGACACTGTCATCTTCTGCGTGGAGCTGGAGCACCCATGTCCAGCTGCCTACTGGACTCGCAATGGGGAGAAGCTGAAGGAAGATTCCCGTATTTCCATTGCCTGCGTGCTTAGACAGTACACACTCACAATAAGAGACTGCCAGGCAGATGACTCTGGAGAGGTGGCCTTCGTAGCTGGAGACTGCAAGACTTCCACACGGTTCACCGTCACTGGTGAGTCAAGGGTTTTGTGGAAACATTTTTTTGACAAGCTTTGGCAATCAAATGCATTGGAGTTTGTGGTCATCATTTAAGTTTTTAAGGACTGATAACTACATTAAACATAACTAATATTTTGGGTGAGTATTTTTTTAGCTGTCTTTTGTATTATTTAAATTTGTTTGCTAATAACATCTATTAAATGTGAAAGTGTAAAGTTCAAATTAGTACTTTTTATTGCAATGGACAGATGTGATCATCTTTGTTTTTACCTCCAAAATATTATGGACAACGATCAAAAAATGTGGATTGTCTTTAAGTAAGAACAGCTAATGTTCTAAAGGTCTCCAGCTGATGATCCAACACAGGCTTTTATTATTTTAACTGCCAACTATGAATGTAAAGTCCATGTTATTAAAAAGGAAAACAGAAAGGAAGAGCAAAATGCAGATATCACAAAGCAGTCAGGAGCAGTTGCAGGTTGTTTATTTTAAAATGCAAAGTAGAGGCTTACAGGCAGGAAGGTAACAGATAACATGAAAAAGTAGGAATCAAAACGACGATTAGAGAACAATGACTAGATCAGGGGTGTCGAAATCC